AAAAATGTTGAGCGCCATTTTTTCATATTTTCAAACAAAGAGTTACCCTTTTGGGAATTTTTAAACTTTGAACTACTTCAATTACATTTTAATTTCCAATTGCTTTGACCAAAAAAAAAATTGGGCGCCATTTTTATTAAACAAACAAATTTACAGATTTTTTTATAAATAAAAAATTGCGCATTTTTTACATTTTTATAAAAAAAAGTTTAGATGAATTATTTTGACCGAAAATGTTGGGCGCCGTTTTTGTAATTTTTTGTTAAATTAAAATTTGAATTCTATTGGGGAAATTTTTGGTTTTGAAAAATTTGGTATTTTTTCACTTGATTTCAATTTTGGTCGCCTTTTATGGAAAATTTTTGGAAGACTCGGAAAAGGGGAACAACATTACATCGTCTTATTATTAATTTGTCTCTGTGTATTTGTGTGTGTCATTTAAGTATGTTAGCTATTGTTAAGCTTAATTATAGGTGACGTGACGGAACCTGGGACATTCGACTGACAAGACATTCGACAAAAAATATCTGTATGCATATACGAAGTATTATTACTATTGCCAATATTGTGTTAACTGAGATGTGCAGCCAGGCAGCCACTCAGTCAGCCAAACAGCCCGAGAGTATTGCAAATGATTTAATGAAATTGATGCCTGGCTGGGCTGGATGTTGGCCAACTGTAAAAACAAGTTTGTTGCTGTTTACTTTTGGTGGTGTTTTTTTCTTCTTCTTCTTACTGCTGCTTAAATATTGGCAAACATTGTGTAAATTTGTAAACGGAAAAAGGTTGTTGGTCTCTTGGCAGCAGCGGCAGCAGAAACAGAAGAAGAAGTAGAAAAAATACAAACAATTGAAAACAATTCTGAAACGCCTTTGGCTTTTTGTTTATTTTTTTTTTTCATTTTTCCAACGATCTATCTTTTGAAGTGCAAAATTATTAACTTCATTTGTGGTTGTTATTGTTGCAAAAACAGCAACAACAATAGCAAAACATAAACCAAGCAAAGACCTATAAACCATTGAAGTATGAAATAATCATTATGATGCACCATGGCGAATTTCGTGGCTGCTGTTTCTTATTGTTGTTGTCGGTCGATCTAATGGGCCAACTCACGCTGTGGCTTTTTTGATAATGATGCTGTCGCTACCAATAATAACACTGTTGTGATGTTGCGCAAGTTATCATCATCAGCGATGTTTTGTTTTTGCTATTGGCCATACAATATTGTTGTTCATTTCTCATAAGGGTATCTTTTATTATTATTATTTTTTTGAGGTTATTTTCAAATTGTCAAGTCATGAATGAAATTGAAATTGGCATCATAGCCTTAATAGCCAAATACAAAGCCTTCAAACAATACCACAAACATTTTTATTATTGCAATTTTTCCCCAAAGTCATTATTAATATTTAGCTTTATTAAATAATAGAAACAGATAAATATTTAAAAATTAAAAATAAAATATTAAAAATTATTAAGAAAAAATTATATTTATATATTATATAAATCGTAATTTTTTATATATTTTGAAGCGATTTTTAAATTGAAAATTTGAATTATTTCCACCATAAAATGTTGGGCGCCACTTTTTCTCAATTTTTCACATTTTGAAGCTTTGGTTAGATTAAAGGTTACACTTTTTGAGCATAATTAAAAATTAAAAAAATTATAATTATATATCATATTTTATACTCTTGCAGGCCCCAAGGAATTCTCTTACCGCGGCAAGAACATGTTCTTGAGCACCCACGTCCCTGCCTTGGCCAACAAGAAAGTCGATTGGTTAGATGGCCGTAACATCTGCCGTGAATACTGCATGGACTTGGTCGCCTTGGAGACCCAAGAAAAGAACAACTTGATCTTCCGTGTCATCCAACAAAACGATGTGCCCTACATCTGGACTGCTGGCCGTATTTGCGATTTCAACGGCTGTGAAAACCGTCCCGATTTGGAACCCAAAAACATTTATGGTTGGTTCTGGTCCGCAACCCGCGAGAAGATCCAAGCCACCAACCGCATTCCTCAAGGCTGGGGTTACAATCCATGGTCTCAAACCGGTCACAAGAAGCGCCCACAACCCGACAACGCTGAATACGACATCAACCAGACCAAGGAACAATGTTTGTCCGTGTTGAACAATGTCTACAATGATGGCATCGCATGGCACGATGTTGCCTGCTACCACGAGAAGCCTTTCATCTGCGAGGATAACGATGAATTGTTGCGTTATGTTGCTGCCACCAACCCCGGCATTCGTCTATAAAGTTAAAGTTTAGAAAACGAAAGGAGGAGTAGAGCGCGCATTTTTTTAATTTTAAATTTTTTGTTTTTTATTTTTTTTATTTTATAAACAAAACAAAATAGACTTTAGAATTTATTAAAAGAAAGAAAAAAACAAGTAAACAAAAGAAAGAAAACCATCAACAAAAACAAAATACTACACTACTTCTTTTTTTATTAAACCAACCAACAAACACACACAAACTCATTCTCTGCTAAGTAGCCCAAACTACCTACAGACATACATACATGATAAAATGTGTATGTATGTATTTCGTATTGTATCCTGTTTTTCCTGTTGCTGCCAGAGCTCTGTGCTTAACTATCTTCTAATCGAATAAAATCTAATCCACTCGATTCAATTCTTTTGAAAATTATTATTTTTTTTTATAAAAAAGAAAACTTTATAAAAATTAAAAAAAAAATCAATAAAAAGTATTATAAAAAAATTGGGTATAATTTTTATTTCGGCAAAAAGGGACGGTCTGAACGGTCGCCATTTTACAACCTTCCAAAAGCGAATCAATGTCATTAACTGTTTTCTTGAGGAAATCCGCAGTCTGAAAGTGTTCCTTCAGATACCAATCGACTGACAACTAATAGTCTTCACTGATGCCAACCATTGGAATCAGCTCGGTTGATTGCTTCGAATCTCTCTGTTCCCAATGTTCTACAGGTAATGACCTTAACCCCATTATATATATATATATATATGGTGGTCTGGAAATCCGCAGTCTCCTTACTTCTATAGTTAATGCGACCTTAACCTCTTTGAGTTTAGGGTACCTTATCAATCGCACCGATTAACTTCGTCAGTCTGAAAGGGGTTATTCAGATACCAATCGACTGACAACCAATGATCTTCACTGATACACTTATCGACATTCGATAGGTTAATTAGCAGTATCCTTATGCTTCGGTTGCGATCTCTGGGGGATCAATATTATTAACTATTTTCTTAAGATAATCCGCAAATTCCTTACTTGCACAGTTAATGACCTTAACAACCAACGATCTTCAATGATGCACCCATCGGAATCAGCTCAGTCAATGATTACCCTTGCTTGAGTAATAGATAAGCTCGGTTGATGATTGTCACTCTTCGTAGGCCTTGATTGGGTAGCTTCGGTTTTGATCTCTGGGATCTTTGCTTCAACAAGTAAGATTTGATTTTCGGCTCTTTTTATCGCTCTTGGTAGGGGTTTTCGTCGTCGTGACCGATGCAAACGAAGTAGTTTACTGTGCTGCAAGCGACAGTGTGGGTCTCACCGCCACTCCTCCGATAACCTCATTCACTTCACAGCCACCGGAGGCTTGTTCCAATGTTCTTGTCTTCGTTGACGTAAACGATGTATATAAAGTAATTTGCTGCGCTGCAAGCGACAGCGTGGGACCCTTCGCGACTGGTTGCTGCCCACTCGAACACATCATCCTCTTCACAGCCACTGTTTGTGTTGGATACCCATAATTGTCACTCGTCGGCCATCGATAAGTCTTTCTTGAGTAGCAGATTCGCTATGCTTCGATCGAGTTGCAAGGTTTTGCTTTCGCCTATTCCTTACCACTCTTGGTAGAGGGTTTTCATCAACGCAGCTGATGAAAACGAAATAGTTTTCTCGTCTACGTCGGTTTCTTCGTAGCTGGTTTCTTGCCAATCCGCAGACCACAGTCACTGTTTGGGTTTGGATGGTTTGATTCCCCGAGTTACAGCCGCAGCAGAAGAAGAAGTAGTTATAGAAGCTGTCACGAGCACTTCCTGCTACGCGTTCCACACTTTGGATGGTTTTTGGGACATGTTTATGAGCTGCTGTCTTAACCCTTGTTCGTGTTTGTTGCGGGGTCTCCTTTTTGCTGACAATGCCACTCCCTTATGTTCATTGGTAAAGGTAGATGGTGTTAAGAATCTTTTAAAATTTAGGAACCCCTTCGAAGGTCCTAATTGATCAGATTTTCTGACATCAAAGTTTTATCCTTCGTTGGAGGGTTAATTTGGAATACTCTTCGAACCAGTGTCATCGGAATTATTTCAATTAAGAAGTCAATCGCAATGCCTCTTATCTGAGGACCACATTCTCTTTGCCGTCTCCGTTTGCGTTGGATGTTTGATCCCCTGTTTCTGGGTTTTGGCGGCTAATTGTGATGTTTAACCATTCATTCATGGGACCTGTCATTGGCACCAAATCCACCTGCTTTGGTACTTACCGCAGCGAAGATTTCCATTTCTGCCTTTGATTACATCCCTTGAGTATGGATAGCGCCATCCTCGCCAGCCACGGTTGAATTGGTTGCTGAAGCTGCACTTATAAAAATCGAAACTGAGGTTGCCAAGGCAGCCACACCAACAAATCCACCTGGGTTGCCACTCAATGAACTGTTTATCATATTCAGGATAGGTTCCTCGTCATAGAATCCTCATTAACCAAAACCCACATGACAATTTCAGACAAACCCTGTAATTGCCATGGGGATTTTGGTGAGTGAGGATTTGAAGACGAGGAACCTATCCTGGATGTATTTTTACAACAAATCTCAATTCATACTCCCTACATTTTTTCCTTCTGTTTTAAAACACTCAGAACGAACAGAATGGATCAACGATTTCTGAGCAAAACGGTTGCTGACATACTTCTTCATCTTAACCTAGATTAATACAATTATTTTTATTTTAATTTGTAATACAAAACAAGTTATTTTCCAAATTTTATTAAATAAAAATAATCCTATGTGGACATTATGCCCGTCTTCTTATGTATCCACCCCAAATAATTGGTGACCTTTGTATAAACAGTAGGATGACCAATTTCACAACCACCAGCACTGCCAAACGATGTAACACCCACAAGGTAATCCTTGCCTCTAAAATTATAGACCAAAGGTCCACCAGAATCACCATCACAACCGCCACGTCCACCCGTACCATCGGCACACAGATGTTTGCGACGATTAACCAAACCGGGTAGATAATAACACATGCATTTGTCGTAACTCAAAACAGGTGTTTCGACATAATAAAGTTTAGTGTTAAACGAACTGCTATTATCCGATGTTCGACCCCAACCGGCAGCTGTTACCAATTCTCTTTCAAGAAATTCTTCATTGAAGAAACTGCGCGCCAATGGGATGATTTTTACTCGTGGTGATAATGTCACGGGGTCTTTTAGACGTATCAAAGCAATATCATCGAGAAAACCATGACGTCCATCGTAACGTTCATTGATAATGAAATCGTTGCGTGTCACATTGTAGACCATTTCGGCTGATGCGGCATTGGCGTATATGTAGGAGCCGACATAGACACGAGCTTCGCTGGCTCTGTTACAAAAATAAAAAATTAATAAATAAAACTTGATTATTTAAAATTTTTCAAAATAAATGTGATTGTACCGACCTCAGCAAACAATGACCAGCCGTCAGTACAAACTTCGTTGATATCAATGATCCACCACACTGAAAAATCCGTGGTGAATCAAGTAATAGTAGACCCACCAAATAGGGGAATTTTTCCATACCCGCCGCCATGCCATTGGCAATGAAACTTTTCACCGAACTTCCCAGCTGATATTTTGAACATTTCCTCTGCCAATTTTTAACCAAATAATCCTCTTCATGCCATTGCCAATTCCAATTATCCGTATCAAAGAAATCCTCTCCATGGCCATAACGACGATGTAATTTTTGTTGACGGCCGTAGGTTCTAGTGCTTCGCAATTGTTGTTGAGTTCCATAATGCCTGACTTGTGCAGTAGTAACTGAGATGATAATAAACAACCAGCACCACTTCATGTTTTTTAGAATACTAAACTTTGTTCCTAGAGTGGTATAGGTGGTTTTATAGATTTTTTGAAAGTAGTTTCCTTTGTGTATTATTTTTTAACCAGACATTGTACTTGAAGTTCACCACAAAATATATTGTGTGGTCACCACATGCATTTGCCAAGGAACTATTTTCCGTGTAAACAAAACACCCAGATAGCCATCGATTACTGCAAAGTATCGATGATTCTAATATTCAAAATTAAGCCGCAATTTTCAATAAATAGAAATCCTCTGTAGATAATATATCAGACAATGGAGTATAACTTTTGATTAAATCGAATACTGACCGAACATGCGAAATCTTCTGAATAAACAGATAGAAGTTATTAATATGAAACTGCAGATTATTAAGGTTATGAGAATGACAAACACTCATGCAGGCGCCCATGTTTGGTGCAGGCGCCTGATAAAAAATCTGGTGCAATCGGGTTAACCTTCACACATTTAAGATATTTTTTCTTTTTTTAAGTTTAATTTTATGAAAAATTTCTTTCATTTTCTGTTTCAAACTTCCATTTTATTACAAAATATATATGCACTTTATCTTTAATTTGTATTTCAAATACTTCTGTAGGTATTTACATTATAGTAGATACGATGGCACTCAATTTGGGCATTTCTTGAAATGTATTTTTTTGAATGAATTTGATAATAAAACTATAACACAATGCAGATACTAAGATCTATGACTGGAACTAGAACGACTGCGCGACGAAGAATCATGTGAGGATTTTCTTTTATGATGTTTATGTTTATAGGCGGATTTCTCGTCACGTGATTTTCTTTGAGGAGTTTTAATTAAAATTATATCCGAATCATCTTCACTGGTGGATGAAATCATTATCATATCATTTGTGCTTTGTATATCCTTTTTCCTTTTACTTTTGGCTATTTGTTTTTGACCATTGTCGACATCTTTTTGTTTTGGAGATTTTTGCTTACATTTACTTCTACTCTGATGTGATTTAGTTTCAATTTGTGGCGATGATTTTGTTTTGTTTTTTGTTTTATCATCTTCTTCGTCTTCCGATGAGGAAATTATAACAATAGGACTCTTGACATTATTTGTTTCATTTTCCTTTTGGGAACTTGTGCTGGGCATTTCTAGTTCTGGACTTTCAGACCAACGCCAATTACGTCGTGTACTCGAATTGGTATCATTTCCAAAATTATCACTGAAATAAATAACATTTAATTTATTTAGTTATAAACCAAATATCAACATATATACCCTTTTGGTACTTCCTTGTCCTTTTTCGGCTTTCCTATTTTCTCCAGCTTGGTATTGTATTTATTTTCTGGATTGGCAAAAATATGCAAATAATTGCATTTATCACCTTTGTTGCATTTGTGGCCCAAAGCCAAACCTTTAAACAAAGTGAGTTAAGGAAGGATTTGTTTTGATTAGAGCATTTGAATGATAATATTGTTATTTTTTAGGTAAAATTTTGCATGCACCCTATACTATTTTTGTTTTTAAAAAAGGATACTCAATAAGCCATACCACAAAGAGCACTTCGCCAATAGGTCACATGACTAAATTCCACACTCAATTGTTTGCCAGCATAGAAACGATTTTGCAGATTTGTAAATGCCTTTAAGGCAGATCTAAAAGCAAAAAAAAAATGAAATTTAATTACAAAACATTTAAAAAATCATTTATTACCTCTTCTCTGCATATTCCACAAAAACATGACCGCCCCTTGGTGGTCGATTTCTAGTTGTGCGAAAATTAACAATTTTACCAAATTGTTCCAACTCGGGCCATACATCTTTACAAAACTCTTCATAGTCTTTTTTCAAATCTTCATCGGAAAATTCCAATTTACGATCAGACGATTTATGTTGCTTATGTTCGAACAATGGATGTTGAAAGAAATTTCTAATTAGAATGACATGCGATAACAATGGCCGAACATGATTGAGGCCACATCTGGCTTCAAACCGACAACATTGTGTTTTCCTATAGAATTCACATGGCTTCTCACTGGGTCGTGATTCGGTCATAACATTTAATTTCTCAGGTGTTTTCATTCCAGGATTTTCTACATATTCCTGACATAGATATGCAATTTCTGCCAAATATTTTGTAGCCTCTTCTGCCTTCTTTTCAATTTCTTCACGTTGTCGTTTGGCCGCTTCTTCCTGTTCTTTGAGACGTTTCAATCGAAATTCAAGTATTTGTTGTTCGACTCTTTGCTGTACCAAACGCTGTTCTTCGTCTTTTTGGAATTGCTTCTGTGCAAGTTGTTCTCGCAACAACCACATTGCTTCGAGTTCCTTGTGTTCTTTTTCTTCGGTTTGTCGCTTCATTTCGGCAATTTCTTCTTGTCCCATTAACCACTCTTGATAGGCGGGATCTTTAAGTTTTTCTAATTCTTCTGTAAGAAATGAAAAAATGGGTTATTTGTTGTAAATTGATAACCATAGCTCTTTTTGCAATAATATCAATATGGCATTTAAAACGGGCTCATGAGGTCGACATTCAGAATAACTGAATTTCAATACAATACGTCCTAGGTTCCATCATAAATGCTGACGATCTCTATCCCAAAAATAATCTGCAATAGAGACAAAAATGATTTAAAGCGATTTCTTCATAATCTAAAGGAATTTCCGAACAAAAATGCATGACACCATAACTAAAAAATTGACCTTTGATGAATTTGACATTCTGGGTTCTTGATATACTTTCATCCGTCCAATGAACTCCAGCTCCCCCATTTTCCATGCTCCATTTTTTTGCATATTATAATTTATTCATGCCACACTCTTGTACTTTCTGTGCAAATAGATTACCATTAAAAATATCAAATTTAAATATTTTATGCTTTCAACGGGTGTTCACTGTGCTCTGTGTGTATGTAGCCCATTATGAACTCAATCTACATTTTGTTTATAATCAAGGCGGTCTATTTACCGCCAAAACGTTGACATTTTCTCCCAGTTTAACTTAACGCCCCCTCTCATTGAACCGTACACAAGAACAACACAATAAAGTATTCTCTCATGTGCAGACAAAACAAGGCTTCTCTCAGTGCATGCCAGAACAAATAAACACATTTTTTTATTTAATACCAATTGCAAAGACTATTATTTCACAATTATTCCATTATAAACAAACTAAGACCTTTTAACTTTTTACTTTTCTCACATTTTAAAACAAAATAATTAATTAAATTTAATCATTTAAAACAAGCGAGCAAATTTCACAACTAACCGCCTTTTGCAAGTGTTTGACAGCTGACGGAAGAAATAATCAAGAGAAACAGTGTTGTCAATATCTAAAAAATAACAAACACTTTATATTTATTATGAGGGCAAATTAAAATAATATAAATAACTTATAAAAATATATAGAATATCATTTTTGGCAACTTTATTTAAAAAATAATTTACTTTGCAGTGTAATTGATGTAAATATGTTATCGTCATTTACCAACGAATTGTTTTGTTGTTCTTGTTTTTGGTTTGATTTTTTTATGTTGGCAACACTATTCTTCCTCTTTTCTTCAGTTGTCAAAGTTTCTTAAAAAGCCGGTTGGTTGAGTTCGTTGGTCATAAATGTTTAAATATATGGAAATATTTGTTAAAAACTACGAAATAAAATTGGAATAATATAAAATACAAAATTAATTACGAAGCGTTGTAATTGAAAATGTGGTGAAATAATTAGTTAATTTGGCTAAAAAATGTGTTCTTTTGCATACATTGCAATTGATGTTCAGTTGTTGTTTGTAAGATCGTGTGTGTGTATGTGTGCAGTAGTTGAGACAATTTACATTACTTTGTTTTTGCATGCTTGATGGTGCAAAAGTGAGGCGTCCTTCCTTATTGAAAAACGAAAACGGAAAAACGAAATTAAAAAAATTAATGAAATGTAAAAAATGTGTAAAAATGAATGTGGATTATTATTACTCGAATAGATTTATTGGATATTTTGACGCGTCAATGGGCGCATACAAAAATCTGATATTTTTTGTGGAGTTCAAGTTCCTTCTTATTACTGCTGCTATTATTTTTGGAGAACATCAAAGGCGTTATTTTAGAGGAGTAGGTATGTATGCAGTATTTTCTTATATGAATTATATAATTTAGGGACGTAACTCAAACGCATTATTTTTTTTCTACGCAAATATCAAATTATATAGAAGGACCTATAATAGAGATACATGACGGCAATCAATGCTTCCCTAACAACATGGTTCTAGATTTGCATGACACAGAAAGGCGACGAAGTTATTTCGGTATCCTGTCATCAATGACATCCAATAGAATTTGTTTTAAAAATCGTAAATTGTATCAGATTTTTGTTTATTTCTCTTTCGACGTTAGCTACATTATCGAAGTTGTAATGAAAATGAAAGCCAGAGAGATAATCGATTCCCATCATTGTGCGACGCGTTGTGGCTTACAAAGATCGATACTTGAAGTGTTGTAATCATATCGAATTTGTTGCCAAATAGCATTTATAAAATAACATTAATCTTGTCAAGGTTCGCACATTTGTCATCACACCAGAAAATTCCTTTTCATGGCAGGAATGATTTTTCTTGTACGTGGGCTTTTTTTCCATTCAACCAAAAATATTTTTTCCATGGTTTACATATGAGTCGTTTATTTTGAAAGTGGTGTTTAAGTCCAGTTTAGGTTCTTATACAAATCTTGGTTTTCAATGGACTTGAACCAATTTTAAAATAAACGGCTCATTATATATCAGCTTTCGTCAGCCTTTTTAAGTTTATCATTTTCTATGGATCTCTGAACGGCCCTGATGTTTTCGACACATCTACCAACTCGTTGTCTCCGTGCACGGAAACATCACACATCGAATATGTAGACTCAAATTTTGCAGTTGACTTGTTATTCCCTATCTAAAGGGTCGGACCAATAAACAAAATGCGTACAGAATGCGGAAAAAAATTCCGATTCATTTGGAATCTCTAAATCGAGATATTTCACTTCTACAATTTAATGATACTTCTCAAGAACTCCTACTGATTTCGGCATTTGATGATCTCATTTTATTCTAATCGAAAATTTAAGAGTTACCCTCTTGCAGTACTTGGGCCAATATGGATCCATCTCCTCGGACTTTCAATGTCCTTCCCCTATACAACGAAACTCAAAAAACCTTACCCTTACTCAGTCGCCTAAAATATTATATCGGTTGGATTTCATGTTATCTTCTACCATATTTAACTATTTCGATTAGACTAAAGATATCCTTTTGTCCCACTAGGATCTTTAGTAGTCTGATATGGGTCTATCTCCTTAGACTTCGGACGACCTGTCTTCATATCATCATTATTTTAAGAACTGGTCTCCAATAAAAAAAGCTCACTAGACCCCATCATTTTTATTCGGAACTATGACAGTCTTCACAAACGCGGATAGAACGTCAACGACTTCGTTTTACTTGTGATGGCCGACCTCATCTTATTTTCCAATATTCGTGAAACATCTAACGACCGTTTTCTATACAAGATGGACACTCGAACACAAGGTATTTTATCAATATCAATTTATAGGTATATGAAAAAATGCGTAGCTTAAGATGTATTACGGATTTTTTATGGTTCAGTATTATTACCCTTAGCTTAACCGCTAACTGCTGCCATCAGTCCCAAAATTAAATATGATGTTCAACAATTGTTTTTCAAATCGTTTCTAAAAATAAACCGTTGAATTTCCGATTATGAGTATAACAACTCTTAGACTAGACATGTGGTTTCCCTTAAACATAAGGACAACATGTGTATGTCTACTTTCTCAATGGATTTGCAGATTTAAATTTCTATGACTGTGAAAAAATGTGGACAGACCTTTGTTTCGCCTGCCTTTTGTGATCAATTTTTTCAATTAGTTCTCATTTTTTTACACAATTTCTTTTAAATGTCCACATTGCAATATCACTAACACTTGATTCACGTAAACACCAATCCAAACTGCAGACGTTTTTAACCATACCCCATTCAATTTTGTAAACAAAGTCGTGGGGGGTTCCTGTCAGGATAACGACAACTACAACAACAATAACACCAACAATTCACATTACCTTGTTCAATTTTCAGATCTCGTTCTTTTGCCAGTTTTTGTCGTCTACGTTTTCGTTGCAGCTTCTTGACTACTTTACGCCATGGCCTGTTTTAAAAATAGAATTTATTTTTTATTTATTTTCATTTATTATTTGTGTGTCCACCAATACCGGCTAACCTTTTGTTTTTTGTTGCCATTGCCAAAACATATCGTCGTATCGTGACTATTACGAACCGATCAAAATTAAAAACGTTCCAACTGCTACGAATGGAAGATGAAGGGGAGAATGTCGAATAATGAAAGAAATTCAAAGCAAAATATTTACGAATGAAGTGTGAGGCAAGCGAGGAAATCCAATTGTTTGGAAGGTGACCTGAGAGATAGGGCGTTAAGGGATCTAGATTATCGATTAATCGGTATGCGTTATCGAATTGAATATGGATTTTCGTGAATTTTGGAAATAAATATGCATGAATAATTTTAAATAAAATATAAAAAAATTGCTACACTGTCTGTAGAGTTGTGTCGTTCCGAAAAAAAGGAACTATTTCGAGGAAGAAGCGAGTGATTAACTCAATCAGGAGTGGAATTAGGGTTTATGGATCAAAAATTATGTTAATAATTTTTACTTTAAAATTGGAATGTTTCTATTTTCTTCGATATCATAAAGGAAAATTCGTTATGGTAGTAAAAAGTAGTAGATGCTTGAAATACGCGAACAGACCAAATATTGGAGAAAAATGGCAGATTCTTGCTGACCAATTTAAGTAGTCTAATTTGAAACTCTTTATTTAAATCTAAAGATATATTTTCAAATCAATAAGTACTGTTGTAATTTTTTTAACTTCACACAAAGATTAACAAAATGTCAGATCATTGATTTTTTATTTATTTACTTTTTGTAAAATCGGCTAACCTATCTTAAGCCAGTGAGCGGAGCAGTATAGTCGGACGGGACCGACCATTCGATACCCTACACAACTACCGCGGTACTCTATCCTTCTGCGGATGTTTATTCCTAGCCTGGGCAATATATATTTCGTGATATTTTAACCCTCTTGCCCGATTAGAGGTCAACAGCTTCACTTCCTTACACTGACATATATTCCGAATATTACTAATATCAAGTCGGCTTATAATTGTGGCGTATAGATCGACTCGAAAAAAACACAACAAAATTAAGTTTTCGGTCCATTTCATCACAAAATTATTATCTGATCATCACCCAAAATTATAGGCGTTGTCCTTGACCACAACTGGAATCTCATGGAAAATTTCAAAACGATCACCGCCCTCTAGTGTGGTAATGGGTTACTAAATAATATCTTAGTACGTAAGTACCTGTAAATATGTAAGTGTATCACCCACATCCGAGTACATACAACAATATAATTGGTATCGATTTAAAGGCCAACAACTCCTCTTGGATATACTGTCAACTTTTCGGCTCTATATCCTTCAGGAGTAGGAGTGGTGTAGTCTGCGGTTCTTCAGAGCCTGGGAAATATTTGCACCCTCTTTTCCGATAATAGATCAACAGCTCCACTTTCTAAACCTGGCATATTTTCAAAATCTTGTCTTCCCGAGGTGAATACTTACGCCATAAAATACAATTTTGGTCACTTTAGATTTTGGTTGATTTGATCTACGTAATAGTGATCGATTATCATCTAAACAGCCGTTCTAAGTATTTGGTGATTTTGTGATTTTCAAAACATGTAAAAATTCGTGATGTTCGGGCCATAATTGCGGTCTCTGTAGCGACCAGAAAAACCGGCATACATTAAGTATTTGGTTCATTTCCTCCTCTAAATAATAACCGATCTTTCCCAAAAACAATAGGGATCTTCATTGCCGAGAACCGGCCCTACATGCAAAATTTCGTGACGATTGATCAATAACTGTAGCCTGTATCGTGTTTACAAATTATAATTGACAGACGGATGGACACACATGTCTAGATCGACTCAGCTAGTCGAGATATGACGATCGGTATACTTAAAGGTGGGTCTAGGAACAATATTTCGCAGCGCTACAAACTCTTGGGGCTGCAAAATTCAAATAACAAAAATTAATTCAGTTGAGTACGGCTAGGGTTCGAACATAGGTCCTCAGAGCAACACAAATGTTGTCAGATCACTAAACGTTCTAAGCCATCAACACAAAACATAGATCATTAAGCTCGACTAGAAAGAGTATAAATAAGTCACTTATATTTCAAATAAATCTTCATAGAGTAGGTTAACCCCGCAAAAAGTTCTAATGTAAGGCCGTTTTACTCTCCTCTTGTAAGTGATCTATTAGAGTCATGAGATAGATCCCTCTTGCAGTCCTCAGGACGGTATTCTGGCAGGATTGAATGCATTTCCATTTGGTTGCAATAACCTTGTTTCAAGTGTGACCCCTAGAACCATGGGGTAATTTGTCGGAATTGTGTACCCATCGACTAGCGTATTCAGAGATAGCCCCTCCATTGGAAAACTCAGCTATATACGTGATATGTTTGTTCAACCTTGCGCAAAGGTTATCAAAGCTTTTGTTTTGCTATGCTGCTTCCGGAGCAGTAATAGTAGATTCCCTATATACAATTTCAATAGTAGCTCAAGTATTTTCAACCCTGCTGATATGGATATGTCCCTAGAACTGTGGCACTCTCCCTTATTTGTTTGGGCTTATTTTCATTTATAAAGTTATTAATCTGCTCAGCTAGTGCAATACATTTCAGTGGATTATCAGGAACGTACACAGGATTTCCCTTCGGAGGTCGGTGAACTGATTATTTTTTACTGCAGATGTCATCATCTCTAGTTAACAATGGAATTTTTGTGCTATATTCTTCCCAAACAAGGTTTTCCCGACCAGTTTTTTTTTTAAATATTCCCTTCATTTAATTAAAAAAAAGTTATATATATTTGAACCCGAGTGATTTGTGGAAGGCACATAGTTTATTTTATTTTAAATCCTTTCTACATACAACAACATATAATAAGTTTAAAATTTGTATTATTAGTATTTTTTGGCACACTTTAACAACAAATAACACATTTAGGAAACACAATTTGTACCATTAAATTGATTCGGATTCGAATGATGAGTGGTGCTGAACTGCACCAATATAATCAAATAGCAGGTGGCAGCTCCAGTCATCTGAAAAATAATAAGAAAACATTTTATGAAACTTTTCATGCACTAGAAAATTTATAACATATAAAAATCTGTGGGTTCTTCGGTCCATTTAATGGAAGCACTTTGGAGGGAGTACTCGTGTGTTTTAAATAGGTTATTTGAAAATATAATAAATTGTGTTAAACAGCTGATTAATCTCATAAACAGCTGATTCGTCAAACAGCTGTTCTCATCGCCTCATACAGCTGTTTTAATTGCAATTATGTTGTCTAGTTCTCCCAACTATAACAATGTTCCCGAACAAAACCTTTTTTGTAAATTTTCCAATTCAACTTACCGTAAATATCAATGTTCGATCCAGATTAAATAATTCCGCAGCAGTAAATCTAACCCGTCTATGTTGCAGCTGCAGTGATAAACGCAGTAGACGATCCCTAATATCTCCATCATCGGTAATATTTAAAATCTTGTGAACAATGGCAGCACATTTACCACTTTCCTTAATCGTGCGACTGCTACCCTCCACTATCAACACAATAATGATGACATACCAGAACATTTGTGTTATGAAGAAGGCGAAAAATTCATCTGCCTCAAATACCTCCACACAATTTGGATTTAATTTAACCTCCAGCAGATAATAATCATCGAATAGTATAAATAAAAATGAAATTGCTATAATGGCCAGCAGGGGATAGGTAAAATATTCTTCAATTGTGTTGCAGATATCACACAAGAGATTGTGAATGTTGGTAACCTGTCGTATAGCCAATTCGGGATTTTGTCGTATAATTGAGGCGACACTATAACGTTGTTGTTGACTGGTTGCAATTGAGATTGTGGCCGGACGACGTCTTGGTACGCTGCGATTGATACGCACCACTGAATGCAGGGGAGATAATTCCACAGCATGGCTATCTTCAATGTGTGAATCCAGAATGTCTTGGAGAATCTAGAAAAGGAAAAAATTATGAATGTTAAAATTTTTAGAAGAAATTTTTATTGAATATCTTCCTATATAGTATGTACCAATAGGAAACCTAGCAGTTCCTTTATAAAGGAGCATAATACCTTGCAATTTTTAATGGAAGCCTAAAATTGTGGATGAAGCTAGTGGTATTCTTATAGAAGACCTAAAGATGAACTTTTACTGAAGACCAAACGTATTTTATTTTTCTCCAACAGTTTTTATTCCGAAATCATTGGTTTGTATAGCAATTATATTATTTCTTCATCCAGCTCTGTAAATTTGTATATATTTCTAAAGCATACTTTTAGGCGCATTTCAATTGCCATTGAATTTGCTGCAAAATAAGATATTTTAGCCGGCGAATTATAGCTTATATCGGAAAACAATTTAAAAAGCGAAAATTTGGATTTTTTAAAAATATTTTTCCAAGGACTTCAACAAGCGGGGATTGTTTAAAAAATAGTTTTCCAACAAGGCGTGGCTTTTTTAAAAACATTTTTCAAAGGACTAACACAAGGCGTGGATTTTTTAAACATCTTTTTCAAAGGACTAACACAAGGCGTGGATTTTTTAAACATCTTTTTCAAAGGACTAACACAAGGCGTGGATTTTTTAAACATCTTTTTCAAAGGACTAACACAAGGCGTGGATTTTTTAAACATCTTTTTCAAAGGACTAACACAAGGCGTGGATTTTTTTAAACATCTTTTTCAATGACATCTAACTGGCACACAGTTTTTGTCGAATGCTTACCTCATTTAACATATGAAAACGACTCTTGGCCAAATGGGTGGTACACATAAATTTAAATACCATAATGCTGATGTTGATGTGCGGCAATGCGAATGTCGTAAAGACCACAAAGGATGGTGTTATTTCCGCCGATCTGAGCAGCATATAACTCACACACAAATAAATAAAATTGAACAGTAACATGGCAAAGGACATTAGAAAGGAATACCAAAAAATCGTACGATAATTCAATTTTATACCGAGCCGAACAAAGATCTCATCGACCACCAAATTGTTTTGAAGAATTGCAATCAAGCGATCGCGTTTAAAAATTGCAAAACCGAATATGGTCAACATGGCAATGACACC